TGCTTAATCATTTGTTCAGGCCATGACCCAGCAATTTCCATACAGCTGGGGTGAAGAAACACCCTGATTTTAATTAATTCACTTTGGCCTGAGGTAGACTTCACAGTTCCTGATGGTATTCTTGTTCTCACTAAACACCCCCCCCCCTACAAAAGTTCATCACTATTACACCTAGCAGTACTGCAGCACTGTTCATGGTATCACAGCTCACTCTGAGTCCCCTACTCCTGACCCCAAGCAGAGCCTTTTCCCCTCACTGCTCCCTATGCTAGGGCCCTCTCCTCCCTACTTCACACAAGCGCCTACCAGTTGCTCAGCCCTATGCTGATGCTGCCCAGATGAGGCTTTTCCTAAAACCTCCAAGAGGTCCAGTGGGTGCCCTTGCTGCACCCTGCTGTGTTACAGCCAATGGGCAAGGCCACTGCTGCGCTGGCAATACTTCAACCCCTCTCCACCTTACCTTAAAAATGGCAACTCAGTGCAGTCCTTGCTTTGTACAAAGAATCTTCTCTATCAAAAAGAGTGTAAACTACACATAAACTTAAGATCTCTTTGCTTTTATGGCTGTTCCTGTGCCCTGCTCTTCTGTTAAACCCATTCATGATAACATGACGCACTACGTTTTCTGATAAATTTCATTTAAAAAGTAAAGCAACAAAACCACTGAAAATCCAAGTCAATAACTGCATACAGAGAAAGACAACATGTGTTTTTACTTATCCTGAGGAGCAGTGGCTGGATTGCATCAGGGACTCAAGGGGTCATGTGTAGAGAACAGGTGTGAACTGCACCATCAGGCACAGAGCTGTACAAATTAAAAGCAAGAGGAAGATGTGTGCAGCTCATCAACACCAGCAGCTTTTGTTTTTTTTTTTTTTTTTCTATTTTCCTACAGTATTTGAAAGCAGAATGTCCATTTTCCAGTTTAACAGTATAGAGTTTTAAAACATTGGCTTTTCACATTATTAACCCTTACTTCAAAAGTTCTCTGAAATAAGGCACAAAAACTATAAAAAATATGAATTCCCTCCTACTTCTTCATACAGTTTGAAAAGCACTTACGTCAAGAATTTCCTACATTTTTAATGCATATTTTTTATTTTTGATTTCAAGAAAGTACAACAAACCTCTGAGTGTTGACACTATGTTAAATCTGTTTGCTTCCCACAAACCGTCTTATGACTTGCATGAGTGAAGTAATCTTTCTATATTCAGGAGCAATGTCCAAACATTGTTTTAACCTTGAAGCTATGAAAAATCAAAAAGCTCGTGTCCTCTTTCCAGTGGTGCAAAGCATCCCTCCTATTCCTATCAGGTTACAAGATGCTATACAATAAAAATGACGCTATTTTTACCATCTGCCTTTTCCTTTATCACTGCATTAAAACTACACGATGCCTTTAGCAGGCAAAGGAAACGATCTCAAAATCTTAAAGATAAGCAAAACCTCCTGTCACAGTACAGACCTCTGGCATGAGGGGACAGTAGCATTCAAAAGATATGAGTCACAATGTAATGAAAGGGATTAAAGATTGTCAGACTATATGTAATGTTCAGACGTCACAATATTTTCCTAAGCGCATTAAGTGATAAAAGCTTGTGTTATTAAAAAATAAATAAATCTCACACTAAGGCTCTTTTACTGCCTTTTTCTTTTCTTTCTTTTTCTTTTTTTTTTTTTTGGTACGATTACTCAAATTTTCTTCTAAACAGCTGAAGCTTTTTGAGAAAATTTATTCCAAATAGAAGTTTTGTAGCAGTATGGCACAAAATCATGTGTTTATCTATTTTTAGGAGATTATAAAAGGTGAAAGGTGGTACTTCTTTATTCAGTTATGGAAGTGTACTATTTAGCTTATTTGCAATGATAAGTAGGTCAAACGGCCCAAGAATTGAAATGCAGCACTGAGACGCTCATCATGACTTTAAAGAGCATTGCTTTTAAGTATTTTGAAGCAAATTTAGTAAAGCCCTTTTTCATCAACAATGACTGCATGGTCACAATCAGTGTTCACTGGAGATGCTTGTTTAACCAAATTCATACAACTTAATGCAGTCTCTACATGAAATGTAGGAAAACTGTGAGAAAAACCCAGCCAGGAAGCTGAACTTCAGCATTTCATGGTTAAAAGCCCGAGTTCCTGTATTAGACACAAGGTCCTCACTACGAGCAAATCGGGAGAATTCTGTTTATAATAAATGGAGGCAACCGATAAAGATTACTGCAACTAGTCAATTGTGTGACTGGAATGTCAAACTTCAGACAATGCTGGTAGCTAAATTGCCTCACTGAGCAGAAATTATGTGGATTTGAAAGGATTATAAAAGGATAAATTATCCCAGCTGTTCTCATTCTTTTAAGTCACTTGTATGAAAATATTTGCTGCAGGCGCTATTCTTCTGCTGCTTAATTTTCATGGATGCTTTACAGCCACGAAGAACAGCAGAGCTCCTACTTACTGGATAATGTTCGTGCGTGGCAGACAGACAACCAACATGATCATTTTCCTTTCCTCTTTCTCAAGAATCAAATCAAGGGCTTACCATTCTAAGCAAAGTTGATCACTGTTGGATCATGTCGTATTGTGGGAAAGCATCGCAGATGGAAATCTGCTGTGTGGAGCCCCACACGACAAGTTGCAGAGGCCTCTGAAGGGAAAGGAGACATCTAAGGCTGTCCAATTGGCCTTAGATGTTGCTGAACGGGCCAATGCTTTATCTTTATAATGATTCATAGATGGTAGCAAATGCTCTATGGGGGTGGTTACAGCAGTGGGAGCAAAATAACTGGCAAAGAAGGGGTAAACCTATTTGGGCTGCTGAACTGTGGAAAGATATTGCTGCCCAAATAAAGTTTCCAGAAACTGTCATGGAGTTAACTAGATCAATCTATGCCCATGACAGGGGGGCAGTAGGTCCTTGCACCCGCCTCTCCCACCCCAACCCCACAAAATGGGACGGAAGGAAGGAAAAAAAACCAACTGCAACAATCTATGGAGGAAAACTTATTTTACTAACTATGATATTGGAATGCAAGATAACACAATATAATACAATCTAATTGAAATTGAGACTAATAAATCAAATAAGATTTGATTTATTAAGGAGAGTTCCTGAGATCGAGTCAAACCTGAAAAGCTTGGAACTGCTAGGAAAGCACCCTCCAGCACCCACTGCCAGGCAGTAAGAGACCGCCCCACCCGGAAGGGTCAGATCCCATGACTTCTGTAATGTATAGGGATAAGTACTTGGAATTGGAGCATAAACACTTTAACTCCCAGTGCACTACATGATGTTATGATGCGGAATCCTGAAAACCAAAAAACATAAAACCATGACAACATGGTTGGTGAACTGGCAGACAACTCATTCCTGTCCTGTTTGAGGAGCAGTGTACAGTGCTAGTTACTACAAAACTGCACTATTAAGCTTTTTATTATCTTGGCCCATCTGTTCCAACTCATACTTCCATTGACAACATAAGAAATCAACTACCAAAAACTAAGGCAGAAACAGAAGTGAGAGAGTGACGATGCCCTGAACTTCAACATTAGTGCGCGCCGAAGGAAAAGAAGGCAATACCTTGTGATGCTACATGCCCTTGTATTTCCTGCCTGACACGATCCTCTAGAAATAAATGTGTCTGGTTGTCCATTGGGTGAAAGAAAAACAAGCTGGATCAAGAACTCTTTTTTTCCTTTCTTCCTCCCATTCTTCCATGAACTCAGATAAAAGATCATGGCCATCTAACAGCCTTTCTCACATGTACATGTGGAACTTCCTTTTGAGCCAGAACAGCTTGACAAAGTGTGTTATAAAACCACGTTTAACCATATTTCCTGATTTTAAAATGTCAGCAATCTTAAAAAGTGAAACGATCTTCTTCCTTCTCTGATTAAGTGAGATACTGTATTTTAGAGTGAGACCATGACCACATATTTTCTGTAGTTACTATAGAGTATGATCAGAGTTTAGCTCTTTTGTTATATTAACCACATTCATTACACATTCAGGGGGATTTTAATGGATGCCAGACCAAAAGAAATAACTTAAATTACTTTAATTAGTTTTCCTTCAAAACTGCATATAAAAATGACAAATAGAGATGATCAAACTGTTTTCCATATACTCATCTCTTAGTCCCCCATGAGTGCAGATTTCTCTCTCTGTATTCTTCTCCCTTTCTTTTCCTTTTAAAAAAAATTAATATATATTTATTAAATCTGCAGCGTGAATCAGATTGTATCACAAAGAACCATCATCTTTATATGTCACTGTCAGGGATACTGTATTCTGGTAAAACCAACAGATTAATTAGGGAGCTGGCAATTCATTCTCCAGTGATAGCTCTTTTTTTACTTCCTTGTAAGATAACAAACCAGTCTACATTTACCAGGGAACACCTGCTTTTAGCCCAGACACTTATTATGATCAAATAATTCAAGATTAAAGCAGGAAGACAATGCTGACAGCTTTTTTTTTTCAAAGTTTTTCTTTCTGCAGCAGTATATTTCTGTGATAATTATGCTAATCTATTTCATATATAGACACACTGAGATCTGATTTCAACTCAATGAAATGGATCTCCTTATTAAATAAAAAACACAACAGGTGTTTTTTAAATGTCCTACTTCTGCATATCCTGTTGAAGTGCTGGTGGGAGGAACAGGTCAAGGAAGCTGTTTGCCCAGATATTTAATGAGAGAGAAAATTGCAGTTGGTGCAATGCTTTCACCTTAACATACCTAGGTGCTTCATGTGCATCAAAAAAAATAGAAGTTTTCAGGCACAGTTTTCAGTGTGGTAAAGAGAAGGTGAACTTCGATGGCATTAACATCGTGGAGCTGATGAGCTTCATCTGAAGGGCAACCGAGGGGCACAAGACAGCCAGCAGCCTGATTTTGCCCCCTGAAACACTCACCAGTGTGAGTGACCACAGCCCCTTCACTTTGGGACCAAAGCCTGGCCAGTTTCTCAGCAGCTCTGAGCAATTTGAATCTTTAAGAACCCGAGTTCTCCATGAACACACTGCCCTCGAGCAGGCACAGCTCTAGCTGCTGCTGTGATCCTGAGCAGGCTGCAGCCAGACATGCTGCCAGCACGGACAGACTGACCTGGTCACTCGGCTCTGGGCAATCTGAAGTCATTGTTAAACAGGACTGGGAGGAAGGGACAGCAGCTGCTTCTGACCGAAAAGCGTTATGACTTCCTATTGTAATTAAATATTTTTATGAGGACAGCAACAAAAGACACATCTGTCTGCCAGAAAATTAGCAAAGTGCAGATAACAGGATATAAAAATCAGAAAAAGTGCAGTGAGCTTCAAATCTGCTGAAGTCTTTTTTCATCAAATGATCATTTAATGCCTTGAACAATCAAGAAATCATCCATACACTATATCTAGAGCTGAAGGCACACAACAGAAACACTCACCAGCCATATATGCTGCACTGCAGTGTATGTGAGAGTAAGAAACCAATAACAGACATACATTTATATTGCACTATGTCTGAAACTAGATCAATGTCTAGTCCTGCCTCTTCTACACAACTCCAGAAATAGGCCCATTTTAAAACAGATTGAATATGAGCAACTGTAAAACACTGAATTGAGTGCCAATGGCTAGAGACAAAAATTGTTGAAGGACTTCAGTTAACCTAAGGCTACAGCTGAACTGCTGTTTTTGCAGTCCACTGACTCCATCCAAGACTTCTAATACTTTATGATCCTTATTGAACTTCTCTTTCTTTGAAGAATCTGATGCTTGCAGAAAGAAACATTCAAACACGTTGAAATGTGCTGGACTCAACACAAAGTCTTTAGGTACCTGTAGCTGATTAAGAATTCTTCTGACCCCAAACATACTGATATCTGAATCTGCAGCTCTAGACAGCAACAGTCTAATTAACAATAACTTTTGTGCTTGGTTTCTCATACGTAAACCCTCATGAAACCCTCCTACAATTTCCCACACAGGTAAAAAGAAATACAACTCCTGAACGCATCTTTTTTTTTAGTACAATCTAAGACCTTGTTTTTCAGTTAAAAAAAAAGATTAAAGTCTAAATGACATTTAAACCTAAGATAAACATATCTCCCTGGGCCCTGTATGGCAGGTCAGAAATCCAGCTGTTTTCTGACTTTTAATCCCATGCTATGAGAAATAAATACCTCCCTGAGGTGGGAAAACCCCTTCCTCTCCTGGTCTGGGTTCCAAGAAAGGCTTTGCTGGATTAGGACAATGAGCTTAACAGAAATGTGGCCAAAGATCATCCATTTGAGTTGAAAGAGTGCCCACTGCCTTTCAGTAGGCAAAAATTTCAGGACTGTTACCTCCTCAAATGCTATCCAGAAAGCTCAACTAACTGCTCTGAACCTGTCGGTCTGTGTTCCAGCCAAAAATAAAGCAAAAAAACTTTACTGTTGCTGTGAAGGTGGCTCCAAGATGCCAAACATTCAGTGCCTGCCAAGGCACAGAGAATAAAGTGTTGCAACTGTCCTTTCTGATTGATCAAGCAGCTCTTTCAAAGCTGCTCCTGAGTCACTTCTCCTACATCACAGCCCTAACAGAGAAGCTTTCTGCAGTACTCGCTTCCTTCAAGCATATAAATAAACGTGACAAGGTTTGAGAAGCAACCTGTTAGCCTTGTCCTTGTGTTAGCAGACAATCATGAAGAAACGGCCCAAAGCTTTTAAGGATGAGCTAAGAAATGCCTCTTCAAAGGACTAAACTGCTCAAATGGGAGAATGTAATTCCTGCTTAGTGACGTTCACAACACAGTGTGTTAAGCATGAATTTGAAAAGGCCTTCAGCTATTCCACTTCCACTCAATCCTCCAGCAAAAGCTGGGGATGGAAGCTCTCCACAAAAGATTAACAACCCATCGGTTCTTTTACAAGCTAAAGAAGAAAAGACAAGAAGCTCTGCAAGAGCTGACTGTTCTTTTATCTTTAACAAGTCTTTCGTATTTGCCAACCTGTCTGCTATAGCACAATGTGTTCAGTGGGTACAAGACCTAGGAGGGTCCACTCCTCTCAGCTGCAGCACAGCAATGGAAGCAGAGCAGCAAGGCAAGGCCCCCACTCCCAGCTTCACTCCACATGCAGAAGAGGAGGCTGCCTCACTGCACAGAGTGGTTGGCCACACCAGCAATCGCCTAGGTACACTTAGACCTGTGTTCTGATGAACAGGTGGGCACCAGGCTGCCAGGAAAGAGCTCATACAGATAGGGAGTATGCAGGTGCACACGCCATCAATGTGCTCGTCACCTGAAGCTGTTTTGATTCCTGTCTTGAAGATGCACTTTGATCATCTTAACAGAAGAGCTGACCTTAGGAGAAAGAAGAACAGAAACTGCTAGGAAAGACAGCCACAGGCACACAAAAGCTTCCTGTGAAGCAGCGTTACTCACAGCCAGCTGCTGTTGATGAGCATCAGCACTCTCATCGGCTGTGAGTCAGCAGCACCTGTTCACCATCACCTTCCTGCAGGATGTGTAGCACTGTGCTCAGCAGCCCTCTGAAGCATCCAGCGTTGTGTAGTAGGATCCAGCCACAGGACAGGGACTGCAGGTCAGTCAGCATGCCCTGGTTGATACAAATGTGCCTTATACTAGCAGCGCTCAGTTTGCATTTGTGCAGGAGAAACTGACTCCCTACCTTATTAGGGCATTATGTGTAAGTAAAAGCAGATTCGAGCAGAATTAATACAGAAAACTTAAGGCAGACCTTACAAATTTCTTTTGGAAGACTCAATAGGTAATTCTTAATCTCTGTGTAGTCCTACATGTAACAACTATGAAGTTACATACACAGAAACCATATACAATGTTGCTATTCAATCCAGAATGTTTCATGTTTTGACTGGAAAAGACAAGAAACACTACTGTACTTGGAAAAAATTGAAAATTCCAATGTGGGATTTTCAAACAATTATAAATCATATGCATATTATGTTTCTTAAAGAGTGCTCTGTTCTATATAGCAATGGCTGCAATTTCCATAGATGTGAAAGGTCTTGACAGATAACAAATTTACTGTACTTTCTGACTACCCTCAGTGTTAAGCAATTTACCATCCACCCAGTAAAGTTATGATCAGCCTAATGTCCCGTTGCTTATTAATTACCAGCTCTACAAGACATTTAAGCAGGAAAGAAATGCGTAACAACTGCTTCCCACCATCCCACTTATTTGCTGTAACTAATGCTTGCAGAGTTTGTAAGATCACATTCAGAAAACTGGGCAGGATTCCTGACACGTAGCGCTGTTTAGAACATGGAAGCCATCCTAGGATGTAAGATGGGCACACTCGTTCTGGCAGTCCTTCACCATGTGTTGGGTGACACAAGGGGGTGGCTTTAGGTGAAGGAATAAATCCCTCCCACTCCTCCGTCAAATTCATTCCCTCTCTATTGCATGCAATCCAAGCCAGAAGTGAGTCCCCAAGTCTCAAACAAAAGTAACTTTGCCTTTTAATGTGAACTGACTCCACTTGACTTTTCTGTATTTCACAGCAGAGAGTGAATGGTAATGTAAGATATAAACATGCTACAGTCAGTCACATGCGCGTGGCCCACACACAGACTGCTGTTATTGGAAGATCTCCCTTGTTTGTTCCTGTTCCCTTTGTCAGCTCAAATTTGATTTTTCTTCTGGATCTTTCTAGAAGAGAAAATGGTGATGAGCACAGAATACTGATAATGTGCCCAGTGAAAAAAAAAGATCTCATTGTCAACCCCATTTATATGGCAGTACACTGGCATTTTTATTTGCCCCATTGACAACACCTGTTTGTGAAGGCCCTGGAAGATCCTTTTGCTATTCCAGAGGTTGAGTGTGTGACACCAGGCATGCAGTAGCTCCCTGACTGTTGCAGTAGAGGCTACAAAACTTGTAATTTCTGTTTCCTGGAGTATACAGAACTCCTTGGACATCAGCAGGAATTAGAGAAGACTAGAATTGTGCCTATTGTTGTTCTGTGCCTCATTAAGTGCAGCAGAATTTGAATATTGGGAACCATGCATTAAAGGCAACAGATTTTCCTGCTCTCTAAGAAGCCACTCTTTCACAGATGCAATCTTTATTTGACAAGCTCTCTGCTGAGTATAAGATCAAGCAGAGAAGAGCAGAGTCGACTTCTGATTAAATTCAACAGCTTTTCTTGATTGTAGGACTTGATTCCAAGCATAAGACATCTGGTAAAAGCTTCAGATGGTAGGATGTCATGTTTACTTACTTCTTTCCTTTGAATACACAGAGATACATGCCTAAGGAAGTGGTGTGCGATAAATTTGTTAAAACCCCATGTATTGATTTAGGGCATTCACTTCCCACCATTCATTATTACTGCTTGAAGTACTTCATCCCAGAGAGAACCTAATGGAACCCAACAAAATAACATATGGCCGTTTGCTGCTCTGCATATAGACTGCTTTGACAGAGCAAAATCATCACAACATGTAAAAAAGCACAGGTCTTTCTCTGTTCAGAAAATGAGTGCTGGCATGCAGGTATAGTAATTTGTTTTCTTTTTTTTATTTGCTCTATGCAGATTGTTTTGCTGAGAATGACTATCACTACTTATTACTTTGGCCTTACGCTTTCCTGTTTATTGTTCACATTATGTCATCGTGCAAGCTGACGAGTGTAAAGACTGCTCTTTTACATGTAGTCCACATCATTCACATTATTATTATTTACTATGCTTTATGAGTATGCTTGTGCCATAACTGTATCATGTACTGTCTTATAACACAGCTATGTGAACAAAGCCAAGGAATAAACACAAGGTAGTTTGCATCTTACATATATGATCTAAAACAAACAGACAGATGGGTCTAACTTTTCTTGTACTGTATGACCCTATTTTCTACCACTGTTCCATGTATTTCCCTATAGCTTAGATCCCTAAGCCAACAAGTCTCATGAGAATCAACAGCTTATATGATATCTGCAAAAGCTTTTGATTTGTACTGTGTACGCACCACTTCAAGTAGAAAATTCAAACCAGAGAAAGAGGATGGAGCTTTAGACCAGAATTAAGAGAATCTAATTTCCCGTTGGGGCTCTGCTACACTCTTAATGGGCAACACAAGACAAATCAGTTCACCTCTGTGTGAAGTCTGCTGAAAGCAGGACTTCTCTGCAGGAGCTCAGAAAAACAGGAAGTTTATGTAAGTAACATCTGCAAAATGCAGAAAGATAATGG